CAAATAAGAAATTCTGCAGATATGCTCAAAACATGTGCCTGGTGGATGATATACGCACCTGGCATTCTCTGCTGTTTGATTTCAGTATTTGTTGATGGATTGATATTTGACATACATGATGGTCAACATGCAATGGAAACCAGGTACCGGCAGCATTTCATAGCTGAGAATTTTGATAGTATTAGGGTTGCCAAGTCTGGGGACCTCTGTGGGAATGTGATACCACAGACGTCACCCTCCAAAGCAGCCATTTTCTCCAGGGGGAACTGATATCCGTAGCCTGGAGATCAGTTCTAATTCCAAGAGACCTCCAGCCCCCACCTGGAAGCTGGCAACCTAAGTATTTAGCATGGTGTAAATGCTGAGGGGAAATGTTAAGTAATATGACATGCAGCAGCTGCCAGTGTTTGACTGCTGACCTGAGGCCATAGCTGATGGACAGCACAACGAGCAAGAGATGTTGAGAAGTTTTAGAGCCCTTGAATTTTAAATACAAAAATTTCACATTGAAAATGTCAGCGTGAAGCTGGAAATCCTTCTAATAGTTAAATGGCTGACCACCACCCCTCCCCTTATGATAATGAGAGCAGCAGTGCTGAGTCAACTGACAAGCAGGAGAGGGGTTTGTACAAACTCTAGAGACATCAAGGTTCTAGTTCCCAACAAGTTTGTGCTTCATGTTCAGACTGAGCATGCTTCCATCAAAAAAAACCCCTCTCTACATAGAAAACTAAGTATCCTGGGAAAGGTTTCTTATCTAGCTTTCTCCCTAGTATGCTAGTTTTATATGTGTGAGGAATGGTTTTGGTGATGATGGCGCGGAGGGTCATTTCATCTCGTAAACCCAAACCGCAGTCTGTAGTGGTACATTCCAATGTGGTTGTACCACTTCACGAGACAAAATTGCTGAGGAATTGCAGTGGCTCAAGTGGTTAAGATGCTGAACTGCAGGCTGTGGAAGGTCGGTAGTTCAGCAGTTCGAGACCCGGGTGCCGCAAGACAGAGTGAGCTCCTGTCTCTAGTTCCAGCTCCTGCCAACCTAGCAGTTCGAAAGCAAGAAATTGCAAGTAGATAAATAGGGACCACTTCGGTGGAAAGGTAGCAGCGTTCCGTGTGCCTTGGTGTTTAGTCATGCCGGCCACATGACCACGGAAATGTCTTCGGACAGCGCTGGCTCTTCGGCTTTGAAACGGAGATGAGCACCGCAACCCTAGAGTCGGATTCGACTGGCTTTCGAGCAAGGGAAACCTTTACCTTTACCTTACTGTCTGTGAAGTTTTCAGATTGCTACATGCTGGGGGGGGGGGGATGCCTTCTACACTTTTGTTTTATTTTACTGATTTCAGGAGGAAGTGGGAAATGTAGCTCTCTTAGGTACATAACGAGATCTCGCCGGTATTGACATGGGGAATATGGACATTTAGGAAAAGCGGTCTCATATAAACAGAAACCAGATTAACCACTAAGTACACTAAACAACAGGGTCACTTACATATTGGAAGCCCGGCTGAGGTCTGGGAATGGGCAGCGTGTGTCAATATTGCTCCACCCATCTCCAGGAATAGTAAACTATGGAGTTCAGGTATGAGATAAAGGGGGGGGGTGTCT